GAGACTATTTTGTCCTGTAAGCCTTCATCTTAAGTGAGAATGACAGCACAATTAGAAGAGCGTAGTCAATGGCACTTAAATGTGTATGTAAAAAATTTTTGAAATGGCGTATCTTTGTCTATGTATATTTTCAACAACAACAAAAAAAAAGCTGAGAATTTAGAGGGTTAAAATGTTGTGGGGTTTTTAACCAATGTCATAAAACAGCATATGTGCTACTGTTACATGAGAAACTATCTGTTCTGTAAGCCTTCACCTGAAGTACAATAAAATATTAAAAAAAAAAAAATCATAAATGAAAATGAAAATAAACTTTTTTTTTTTTAAAATCACACATTGTGTGTCATTCTGGTCACATTCATGAAGGGCATCAGATTTCAATACAATCACAACCATAATGTCCATGAGGCAGGAGATGGTGTCACTGAGGTCAGTCTTTAAATATCCCTTCTCAGAGTAGCTGAATGTGAATGAGAGACAGAGAAAGAGCTTTGGTGCCAGAAGATGCAGGGAAAAGGAGGGTGGGGCAGTGCCAACCATGCAGAGTGAAATGGAGTAGAGGAACTAGGCACTAGAGGGAGAGCTTAGAAGTTCACAGGGTTAGAGGCACCTTTGGTGTTTGTAAATGACCATTGTTTCAAAAATGTCAGTAAGTCAAATATCACACGTCTAAATTGGCGAAAATTACAAATCAGAGGAGGAGAATTTTCAAGGGAATTCTATTTCCTTATCTGAAAAGGCGGGAGAATTAGACTTCAGTGGTTTAAAAACTTTGGTTTGTGATTCTCTAGGGTTTTGCTGAAGAGCTTCTTGGAGAATGATGGGAAAGCCTTGTCTCATTTTAACCAGAGCAGCTTCACATTTGGCTGTTTATTGAGAAAAAGGAGTTTGGCTGTTATAACTTTCTTGAGCTCCTCTGGCATAGGTCTCTGAGGTCTCCTTGATTTATTCTTCCTTTGTTCTACTTCTAAGACCACTTTCTACAAAAATGAGAGCAACATGCCCAAGAGAGGCTTTTAGGGAAAAACAATGATAAGAAAGGAGTACGTCAGTGATGCAAATGGTTAACTTACTCGGCTGCTAACCAGAAGGTTGGAAGTTGGGTCTACCCAGAGGAGCTTTGGAAGAATGGCCTAGAGATCTACTTTTGGAGAATTAACCATTGAAAGCCCTGTGTAGATGTATAGCTAACTGCCTCCATGAACAACTGCCTTCTTTGCTATGAGACCAGAAGAACTGGATGGTGCCTGGCTATCATTACTGAACATTTTGATCAAAGATTCTATAGAAGAATTCTGATCAAAAGTGGGAAAATACAGAATAGAATTTCAAATTCTCGTGGACTCCAGACTTCCTGGAGCCATGAAGTTTGGATGAACCCCTGAAACTATTGCCTTGAGATAATCTTTAAACCTTATACCAAAAAATATCCCCTTAAGTCTTCTTAAAGCCAAACAGTAGTTTAGCTTAACTAGTAAAAAATGTCTGCCTTGAGCATTATGCTCTTTTATGAACTATCTATATAGAGCCCTGCTGGCACAGTGGTTAAGAGCTCGGTTGCTAACCAAAAGGTCAGCAGTTCGAATCCACCAGCCACTCGTTGGAAACCCTATGGGGCAGTTCTGCTCGGTCCTGTAGGGTTGCTATGAGTCAGAATCGACTCGATGGCAACGGGGTTTTTTTTTTTTTTATGGGATCAGATTGACAACAACTTGAAAGATTAGATAGGAACCTTAAGGGGCAATGAATTTATGTTAATGGGGGAGGAACAACTCAGAAAAGGAGGGTGAGAATTGTTGCATAACTCCAAAAATGTAATCAATATCACTAAATGGTACATATAGAAACTGTTGAATTGGTGTATGTTTTGCTGTATATATTCTCAACCACAACAACAAAATTAAAGAAAAAAAAAGATTAGAAGAGAAATTAAAAAAAAATAAAGAGAAATCCCCATGTAGTGCACTTCTACTCTGACACACATTAGGTGGCCATGAGTTGGAGTTGACTCAACAAAACTGGGAAAGGTAAAATGATAAGAAAAATTTGCAGTGAGAATCTCTAATTGAGCACAAACATTTCTAGCAAAGTCGTTTCTAGTAGCTTAAAATAATTTCCCTATACTTTCCTCCAATCTTTTTTATGTTATGAATTTACTTAGAATATGCTTTTTTTTTTTTTTTTTAATAGCCTTTACAACATAACCCTTTAGCCTAGGCCTTTTTCTGAATTAGCTTAGTTTAAATTATGCATTTGAATGAGGGTGGCAGCATAGTGTTAGTTGTTGTTGTTGTTGTTAGGTGCTGTCAAGTCGATTCCGACTCACAGCAACACTCTAGGACAGAGTAGAACTGCCCCAGAGGGTTTCCAAGGAGTGGCTGGTGAATTCAAACAGCTGACCTTTTGGTTAGCAGCCTAATGCTTAACCACTGTGCCACCAGGGCTCCAGTTCTGTCATTAGCTGTGTAATGTTGGAAACCTGAGTTTCCTCATCTCTGAAATGGAGTTAATAATCATGGTCTTGTAGAGCTGTTTTGATTTTATAGTTATTATAGATGTAAAGATCTTGGCACATAAAAGCATTCAGTAAATCATGATTATTATTATTCTACCTGAAAAGAAGCTACAATTGCTTCACTTTTTGTTCTTCATTTTACCTTTCTAGGTGTAAGGAAGTCTCTTTAGCTGGACTGGAAAGCAGCTTTTCTGATGTTTCCTTCAGCTCATACTTCACCTTTAACCTTTAGCCAAATTTTTTTTTTTTGATTGTACTTTAGATGAAGGTTTACAGAATAAATAGTTTCTCATTAAACAGTACACATATTGTTTTATGGCATTGGTTAACAACCCCACAACATGTCAACACTCTCCCTTCTCTACCTTGAGTTCCCCATTACCAGTTTTCCTGTCCCCTCCTGCTTTCTAGTCCTTGTTCTGGGCTGTTGTGCTTCATTACTCTCTTTTTGTTTTATGGGCCTGTCTAATCTTTGTCTGAAGGGTGAACTTTGGGAGTGACTTCATTACTGAGCTAAAAGGGTGTCCAGAGGCCACACTCTCGGGGTTTCTCCAGTCTCTGTCAGGCCAGGAAATCTGGTCTTTTGCCAAATTTTTTTTTAATCCTTAGTTCCTGAGAAATCAAGAGTACGCTTTCTCCTTAAGACCTTGATTGGGAACTTTAAGTATCTTTTTACTGTAATTTCTAGCACGAAACCTATTCAGTAGCCATCCCAATTATGACCAAATAATTTAGACCAGCTGAATCTTTATGAATCAGAAAATATTTTCTTTTACTTTATAGAAGCAAGTTTGAAAAAATTTGCCTTGGCTGATTCATTTCCCCTTTCCCCTCCCCACCCATTAATGTAGTGCACAGACCTACTTTAAAAAAATCAGTTTTAAAGATTTCATGCCCAGTAAATCATGTAGTTGTTTCTGGTACAAAAGCAAAAATCGTTTTTTACCATGAAAGAAGACTTTGCTGGAACCACCCTTTACCCACCAAGAAAGTGCTGTGTGCCATGAGGGCTAGGTTTGAAATAAAACCTTGGCCTGAGAATAGGGCAGTTAGCGTTCCCTCAGCTTAGATTCTAGAATTTACCATCCACACAGGAAGAGTAGATCATTCAGAGCCTCTAAAGTACATTTAAAAAAAATTAAAATTTCAGTCATCTAATATGATTTGAAATGTTTCCATTGAATGATTTTCAAGGTAATTATAAAACTCAGAAAGTCTATCATTACTTTACTCTTTTTTTTTTTTCAGAGCTATAACTTACAGGGTAGGTCCATCTAGCTGTGGGTTCAACCCAAATTCACAGTCACCAAAATTCTATCCTTCATTTTTTGTGGGAGAAAATTACCAAGTTTTCAAACCTAAGATATTACTTTTAAAAATTGTATTTTTCAATTCTTTTAATTATCTATATATGGAGAAAATAATGTAAAACTGGAAATGATTGGAGATTTTGAAAAAGGTCATTGAATCCTCTACTTTGATGAGGAAACCCTGGTGGCATAGTGGCCAAGAGCTATGGCTGCTAACCAAAAGGTCGGTGGTTCGAATCCACCAGGTGCTCCTTAGAAACCCTATGGGGCTGTTCTACTCTGTCCTTTAGGATTGTTATGAGTTGGAATTGACTTGATGGCAACGGGTTTGGTTTTTTTATGCCTTGATTATAGTAGTGATAACATGGGTGTTCACATTTCTCAGAACTCATTTAATTGTACACTTAACATGGTGCATCTCACTGTATGAAAATTGTCCTCAATAAAGTTGATTTAAAAGTTAATTGGAGTGGCCAAGGAGCAGGGTGGGTATCTGTACTTGGAGTATTCCACAAGATGCTTTTCTGCAGGGGCCCGGGAAAGCTGGAACGGACTGCGCCTTGGACTGCGGCTCTGGGATTGGAAGAGTCAGCAAACATGTCTTATTGCCGGTTTTCAACAGTGTGGAACTGGTGGACATGATGGAACCGTTTCTCCTCGAAGCTCAGAACTACTTGCAAGTCAGAGGGGACAAGGTAGAAAGTTACCACTGCTACAGCCTGCAGGAATTTACGCCCCCACTCAGGAGATATGATGTCATCTGGATTCAGTGGGTCTCTGGTTAGTCCTGCATGGCATTGCATCTGCCCTTCTCCCTTCCCAGCAGAAGAAAACAATGCCTGGGGCTAATTTGAGGATTCGTGGAATGGGAAAGAGAATAGAAAGGGAGATTTAGCTGCAGTTGTGCTTAGAACAGTTAACCTTAAAGATCACGTAAACTCTCAAAAAGCTCTGGTTGTCCAGATGTCTTTCCCGACATCCTCTGTACAAGCCAGGCAATTTCCACCCTTAGAGAGGGAGTGCCTTGAAACAATCTAAATCCTAGATGAAACCTAAATCCTTGAAAAATTTAAAAGTGGGGCCAAAAAATGTTAATCCCCAGGAAATGAGACAGCAGTGAATTAGATATTGGTATCTCTCTCTCTCTCTCTCTCTCTCTCTCTCGTGTGTGTGTGTGTGTGTGTGTGTGTGTGTGTGTGTGTGTGTATGTATGTAGTAGACACAGAGGAATGATGATAGAGCTGAGTTTTCCAGGGACGTGGGAGGGGCATCCCATAGTGTGGGCAATAATTTATTCTCATGAATACAGGTAGTATAATACCTGTTTTACAGACAGAAGACTGAGCCACCTCAAAGAAGATAAGTATCCTCTTATCTAAATTCTCAAAGGGTGCTGGAACTAAAACAATCTAGGCTGTTAAATAATTCATGAATGAATAGTCTTCTGATTATTCCTCCTAATTCTCAGCCTTGTGTTCTTCCCTACTCACCTCCCTCTCTACCCACAATTTCACCCTGCCCCTCCACCTACTTGGCCCCACATACAGGGTACCTGACTGATAAAGACCTTCTTGCATTTCTGTCCCGGTGCCGAGATGGCCTGAAAGAGAACGGCGTCATCATACTGAAGGACAATGTGGCTCGGGAGGGCTGTATCTTCGATCTCTCTGACAGCAGCGTGACTCGGGACATGGACATCCTCCAGAGCCTCATTAGGAAGAGTGGGCTGGTGGTGTTGGGCCAGGAGAAGCAGGAGGATTTTCCAGAGCTTTGCATCCCAGTGTGGATGTTCGCTCTGCACAGCAATGGATACCCCTAGACAGCACTGGGAATGGCCTGCTAGACCGGGCAGTGGTGCTTTGTGACAGAGGTGCTTTCCTTCAAGGTACCCTTGTATTGTGAGAGGGATGGAGAGAAAGGATGCCCTGCATGTTTGGAAATGATGGATGATGTAGTCTGTACAAGTTTTCACTAATGATATGAGTACATGCACACTGTAGATTTTCTGAAAGAAGAGAGTGAAACATCAGAAAAAAAATGCTTTAAGAGCTTGGATACACCTAAACTGTACAAGTGGCACAAAATCAGAGAGGGGAGAAATTCCCACAAATTCTAACCTGCCTTGGTTCCTGAAGATTTGCATTATATAGTGGTCCAGGATGGGTGAGGGAAGTCTAGACCCCCTTCCCCCTCCCTCGCATCAGCTACCTTTGGGCCAACCACTTCTCCTGAATAAAAACATCCCCTTAATTAAGAGGGCACTAGTCTAAATAATCTTATGAAAACAAGACCATTGCTTAATTTTGTCTTTAGCCTTTCTCTTGGCAGAAAAAGTAGATGATCTCACTTTCTATTTTGGGCCACTTTCATTATCCAATGATGTAATGTAGATGTAATTTGGTAACAGAAGTCTGCATTTCTGTGATGAGGAAGTGTCTCCTTTCAGGAGAAAATATTGTATCCCTGAAATTTCAGCCTTGAGCATATAAGTAAACGTCATCGATAATTTAATTTTAGCCATTGGCTTCCAACACTGCTTGCTTCATTGCTGCTGCCCCTGTTTCCTTGATTAATATGAGTGTACAGTGGCAACAGAAGTAGCAAAGGAAATGATAAACCTGAAAATTGAAGTAGCTGGATTAATTTATGGCATTGATTTAATTAAAAATAATTAAAATCTTTTAAAAGCAAAAATATAATTCAATTGTTATTATCAGTATGTTTAAATATAACTGCTATTGTCTCCAGTTTCTTCACACTGAGGAACATATATATGTCAAGTCTATGAAATGCAAAGAATCAACTGAAGTAAAGGAGGTCTACTTCATGGATATGCTATCACCATAAAAATCATTTTTTCCAGTTGTAACTCTAACTTAGGAGAACAATTATAAAATATTGTAGCATAACTTTAGTAGTTTCATTTAGTGTGTTGGAAAATTACATCCAGCACACCCACTCTACCCCCACCACCTTCCAGCCGTCATATGTTACTTACCATCCTCTAGGGTAACATAACAGAATATGGTTAGAACCATCGGTGAGCAAGCCAGAGATCAGAACTAAATCAAATGGTGAACAGACCAAATATGGCAAAACAAGTGTACTCTTGCCTTTACCATCTGTGAGTCTTGGGGCAAATTGGTAGAATCTTCTTTTCAGGTCTATCCCAGAAATATTCTCTTTTATACCAGTACGCTTCATTCTTTTCCCTCTTGACTTTCTGCTGTGCCAGTATCCAGAAACTGATTTACACAATTGTCAATTTTCTCCTGGGTTTCTGAGCTTATGCAGAAAATAACATAATTGTCCTGTGGATATAAATATGATCTTCAACTCAGTTGGGTCTTTGATGCTGATCAACAGTTCCTTTTCTCTTCCTAAGTCGTGTACCATTCCTCTTAGAAAATTTTCAAGTCTGTCATGGATTGAATTGTGTCCCCCCAAAAATGTATTGTATCAATTTGGCCAGGCCATTATTCCCAGTGTTGTGTGGTTGTCCTCTATTTTGTGATTGTAATTTTACGTTAAAGAGGATTAAGGTGGGATTATAACACCACCCTTACCCAGGTCACATCCCTGATCCAATGTAAAGGGAGTTTCCCTGGGGTGTGGCCTGTACCACCTTTTATCTCTCAAGAGATAAAAGGAAAGGAAAGCAAGCAGAGAGGTGGGGGACCTCATAGCACCAAGAAAGCAGTGCCAGAGCAGAGCGTGTCCTTTGGAACCGGGGTCCCTGCATGGAGAAGCTCCTAGTCCGGGGAACATTGATGAGAAGGCCGACAGAGAGAGAAAGCCTTTCCCTGGAGCTGACGCCCTGAATTTGGATTTTTGGCCTACTTTACTTTGAAGAAATAAATTTCTCTTTGTTAAAGCCATCCATTGTGTTATTTCTGGTGTAGCAGCACTAGACAACTAAGCCAAAATCTTTATTGCTCTAAACAATTTCCCCAAACCCCATCTATCCTTAATGTAACTGAGAAAATAGAAGTTAGGGAGTACATTGCATGAATCCTCACACTCCCCAATCCCTACTGTTAGTAACAGGTACAACGTAAAGGAAAGAGTAGCTTGAGAGGAGAGGCAGTCAGCCATCAGAGCCAGATCATGCAGCCTAATAGGTCATGTTAAAGTTCAGACAAGTTATTCAAAGAACAAAGGGGCAGTTCTTGAAGAGTGCAAATAGGGGACAAGTTTTCTTGTCTTGGGAGTAAAGTCAGAGCCCTGGTGGCACAGTTGTTAAGAGCTATGGCTGCTAACTCAAAGGTCAGCAGTTCAAATCCACCAGCTGCTCCTTGGAAACCCCATGGGGCAGTTATACTCTGTCCTACAAGATGGCTATGAGTCGCAGTAGACTCATGGCAGTGGGTTTTAATGGGTGGGAGCAAAGTCATATACACTGTGGAATGAAGACATTTTGAGTGAGACTTATCCTGCCATCTTCAATCTAAGTCTGTAAGCCGAAAACACTGCCGATGTTTATCAACACACCCAGAAGCCAGTGGCCCCCCCGCAGGTGTATCTAGGGTATGGTACGTTTGGTACATGCCCTGGGTGCGGCTTGAAGCAGGACTGGGTGCCAATGAGCAATTTCTATTGGCCATCGCAGTTTCCATCACCAGCTAATTGCCATGGGCGCTATTTTCCATAGATACTCTGCTGATCGCCCAGGATAAGTGACAGCCTACTTTAGTTCCCAAATACCGGTCCATAGTTCTACTGCCTCAGAATCACCTTGGGGACCTTTTACAAAACAGAGATTCCCAGGCTCCATCCCCATGAGAGTCTGATTCTGGAGCTTGTGATCAGATAATTTGTATTTTTTAAAAGGTATCAAATTGATTCTGATCATTCATTTTGTTTGAGGACACTGAAGGAAAAAGGTGTGGAGCTGGACTCAGAGCCATAGAAGGATAAGGTGCAGCAGCCAAGAGTGATTAAACCCACTTCTCCACTCCAATGCCAGTCTTTCTAACATACAAATCTGACCGTACAAACCTTAGATGACTCCCCATCACCTACAGGGTGAATCCCACTCTCTTCAGCATGGCATGTAGCCCTGGCTTCCCTCTCCAGCCTCATTTCTACTGCACCCCCTGCAGCTGTACTTAAATATTTGTAGTTCCCTAGGGTCTCTATGAGTTGGAATCAACTAGATGGCAGTGGGCTTTTGTTTTTGGTAAAGGAGTCACGATTTGTGACACAGGGTCTTTATAGATGTTACTTCCTTAGCCTGGAACATCTTTCATTCTTTTTTGACTGGCTCAGAATGCTTAGATATCACTGACTCCAGGAAAGCTTCCCTTAATCCCAGTTAGGTATCCCCCCTATGTGCTACCCTCACATCCTCTGCTAACATATCACAACCCTTATCCTACCACATTGGAGTCTCTGGGTGGTGCAAATGGTTAACGCATTGCTAACTGAATGGTTGCTGGTTCAAATCTACCCAGAGGCACCTTGGAAGAAAGGTCTGGCAATCTACTGCTGAAAAATTGGTCGTTGAAAACCCGATAGGAGAGCAGTTCTACTCTGACACACCTGGGGTCATCTTGAGTTGGGATTGACTCGAGGGCAGCTGTACTGGTATCCCATGGCATTATAATCACCTGTTTACCAGCCATTTCCTCTCTAGCGTTCTGAACTCCTTGATGGAGCATTCATGGTTATGTTCTCAGTCCCTACTACAGACCCTACCTAGTACACTGCAGGTAGTCAAAACTTCTGTTGAAAGAGTGAATGGTGATGTTAAAAGCAGAGAGACACAGGGTAATCTAGAGTTTTGGAGGCATCAAACAGGAATCAGAGCAAATCAGCAGGAAAAACCAAGGGCTTCTGAAATTCCATAGCAATGAGATGGACGGGGCTGGTCAAAGCAGTGATCAACAGCGCAAGCTGGCAAGAACAGGAAATGCTTAGGAAAAGAAGGCAGTGAGCGTAGTGCTCAGCAAGTAGCAGGGAAGAATTTATAACAAGAGGATTAGGCCCTGAAGTAAAATCCTGCATAACCAGGAATCTCTTTTTTCAGCAGGAGTCAACCTGAAGATACTGCCAGTCTGAAGCCCTTAGTTTGATCAGAGCGGTGGATGCACCTGATAAGACAGATATGTTAAAACTGTGAGGAGGTCATAAACAAAGCAACTCCTAAGCCTCAAGTATTTCCTGCTAAGCAAAAGGTCTGAAAACTAACTAGATTGTAGATGAAGTTAATCCTTTTGTGAATGTTGAGTAGAAGTAGACGGTGCTCACCAACACTTCACAGATGAATTAATTGCAAACACTCCTGCAATTCTAGATGAACTTTGGAGGACTTCCCTCTTCTTCCAAGAACCGGGGCCACTGCTCCGAAGCACCAGCGTAGAAGTATGCAAAGTCGTAAGGAGTCAGCAATTTTATAGATTCGGGACCATTATAAAAATATAAAACAAAATGAATAAGGTCATCCATGTGAAAGATGATCTGCTTTATATTATGGACACATTTTGGCCCCATCTTACTTTTCTTTTCCCTTCACCATTTCCTGTAACTGGTCTTTTCTGAGTGATGTATTGCAGAGAAGGCCTGTGTCAGATATATTCAGCTGCCTGTCGTGACTAATTAAAACCCGTTGTATTATTGCTTTCCTTAGTTCCAGCTGATTCTTTGCTGCTTTGGTGTCCATGCCAAAAACTACCTCTTATAATCATCAGACGCTAGAGTTTTTGCAGAGGTCACTGCAAGCTAATCAAGCAAATATGTGAAAAATAGTTTTAAATTATCTCAATTGGTAGAGTGTGTGTATACATGTATTTATAGTGGGGGTTGAGAAGGGACTTTTGAAACAATAACTGACCTGTAGAGTTAGTGATTTG